TGCATTACATATTTTGTGAGTTATCAAATATGGTAATAGCCATGCTCATTTGAGATCTTCAGATTTCATTATACTGTGTTTGTTTTTATCTTTTTTGCAACAAAGACTGTTACAGAAGCTGCAAAATATATTTCAGCTGCCAAATCAACACTGGCCATCTCTTTAAATATCTGAAAACACAATCCCTCTGCGGGGACAGTGAGCACCGCTGTTGTTTCTCATTTCAGGTTTTCCCCCAGTACACCCGACCTTGGTTCCATCTCTAGTGGCAGGCTTGAAATTGAAGACGGTGCCAGTAGGCGAAAGAGTCATGCTCAACATAAGCTGGGCGATCAACATTGATGGTTGTAGACCACATTTTGTGTGTTTTTTATATAGCACTTGGTACTACTGATGTTATGACAGATTTAATGTTGCCATTTACTAAACAATCATACATTTGCAGAGCAGACAGTAGGTCTTTGTTGCACATGTTTTATTTGCTGATGGTGGTGAAACATTAAGGACATTGAGATGATATCCAGCAAAAGATGTTGAAGATTTTTCCTTTTCTTTCATGCATTTTATACAGTGTGTACTTAGTGTGTCAGGATCCTTGTCATGGACACTCACTGGTTAATATCTAAAGGCAGACTAATTTATTTCAGTCTGTTATTTTCTCTCTGCAGCTAGTACTAAATATTTGACAGCCACTCGCATCACAACACAAAATCAAGACTACCATTGTAAATACAACCCAACTTTGGCCAGTGCAAGCTTGGATGAATTAGGACAGGTATCAGTCTTAACCTTAGTAGTACTGATCATATCTTTTGGTCCTATTTCCTACATAGGGAAAAAGGTCTGTGATGCTGTTAATTGTTTTTTCCCCTTTTTTTTCTTTTTGTTCTGAAACCTAGATATGGTTTCATTATGCTGTAAACCCTACCTATGGCCACAATTTAATACAAGTTGCAAATCTCCCTTTGCCTCCACCGGTGAAAGGCAATTTCGTTTATATAACGGAATCTATTTTTATTCCTAAACCACCAAAAAGTAAGTGTTTTTTTTTAAATTTCTCTTTTTTTCAAAATAAATTTTTGTAAAACCTATTACAGCCAAAACTTTTGACGGACACAATATACTTAGGAGATATAAATGGTAAAACTATTAACATTTTCTCTGTTTTATAGCAACGGTTACACCAACTTCTCCTTATGTAACTACAGGTGAGCAATACTGTTCAGTATAGTTCAGCTAATAATTTCAGTGAGTCTGCAATGATAAATACATATAGAAAATCCCAGTCTCCCAGTACTGCAAGGGAATATATCAAACCACATGCATGAAGTGCACTGTATGATTTTAAATACTTACTACACCAATTTACAATGCATGTGGTGACTAATCTATCTTTTCTAATTATTTACTCCAGTTAAGGTCACTACTGGGCTAACTACTCCAGGTACGAGTCACAATTTCCTAAAGCACCTGTACTGAATCAATAAAATCTGAATAAATGTGTTTCCTCTGTAAGTGCCCGCTTTTGCAGCGCCGACAGTAATCATCTGTGCCATCATCTTTACCGGAGGAGTGGTCATCCTCATTATCCTGAGTTCATTCTGCATAATGTGTAAATATAAACTTTTTTTTTTTTTTGGAAGATGCACCTGAATTATTAATGATGAATAGGAAAAATATATGCTCAACCAAACGCACGTTTACTTTGTGTGTGCACAACGTGATTTACTTGAATGCTGAATTGTATTTAGCAAAAAGGCTCCCTGCTACAGGATGGCCTTACCTGCAAGCCTTTTGAGCTATGTTTGGAGTCACTTGGAAATAAATGCTTTAAACATCTTACCTTAAAATGCTTTCCAAAGCACAGAAACTCTGCTTCACCATCCTAGGTTTACAAGTTGTATACAAGAAGTAGTCAAAGCTGGG